ACATCAATTCATCGTCTTGTACATTTTTCCCCCTTGACTCAAAGCTGTGTAATGCATATATAGTCTAGTTCTGAGTTACCTTTATTTAACTTTCCCTCTTGCCCTACCTAAAATTTTGCTGTCCTTTATCTGTTAAAGTAAATTTGTAAGACAAACTAGCTAGCTTCAGAACAGTACCTTATAGCTTGCAGCTTGGTTATAATTCATAGGGACCTAAGTGTCTGTCGCCGATTAATAGTCAGCCTCTGGGGTATACGCCTCTGGCTGGCCTGTCCTGCCCCCATCTGCTGTTCCTCTGGCCTGCTCTGTGTCTGGTTTGCCCTGAGGTTGTGCCAGGCGTCCTGTGCCCGGTCTCTGGCCTGGTGCTCCTTCTGTTCGGGCGTGCTCTTAGCCTGGGGTGCATCTTCACCGCGGTGACTTTGCTGAGGTCCGTCTCTGACCTGCTGCGATTCCCGCCCCGCCTGCTTCCTCTCTCCTGTGCCTCTGGCTTTCGCTGCTCTTCTTCTGACCCTTTACCCCAGTACAACTCTGATCCTCTGCTCCACTTTCACATTTTTTTCTTTTCATGTTTTCATTATCACTCGTTTCATTTTCCTTGTTCTCCTTCCTGTTCTTTTCTTACCTCCTCAGCACCTTTTTTAACATCTTTTTTTCCATCTGCACCATTTTCCTCTCCATCCACACTGTATTATTCCCAGTGCTGGTAGTAACACGTTACTGTAATTTCACTACTTTTTGCAGTAACAAGTAATGTAACTAATTACAGTTTCAAAATAAATAACGCAATTAAAAGTACTGACATTTAAATGGACTCGTTACTCGTTAATTTTATCTTGCGTGAAAATATTACTGGACAAATGAAGCTTATTCCCCTAATATTCTGATTATGATCTAACGTCATGCAACAGTGGCGCAGTGAATGGGTGATATTAGTTATAGTGATAGATAAAATTTGACAGTTGTATTGTCTCACACTGTCTGAGACACACATGTATTGGCACGATGTCTCTGTTATGCTTGAAAATCCATCAGCAAAGCATCTCTGTGCCGCAGAGACACGGCTACTGAATATTGATTTATCATTGCCCCAATGTTTGTGCGATATGTCAACAGGTACATGTTAATATGATCACGATGCAATATTTAGCTTACTGTGATTTTTCCCAATAAGGCTATATAACCCACAATAAGTGTATAGTACAGTATATACACTGCATACTATATGTATGTATATACTATTGGGTAGATTTGTTCTGTTTACCATGCATGTACGCACACTGTTTAAAACCAGATACCACGCAAACAATTTAACTGATTAAAAGTCATATATTTATTGTTTTAAACTCTAACAACATGACCTAAACAGTAACAATAGCCATAGCAGTTACGCTGAACTGATTAAAGCAAAATTATTGAAAAATACTGTGGTAGAAAAATTTTAAATCAGCCTCTCTGATAATAAGAAATGTGCTTCTTCAAACACACATTAGCTTATGTAATAATTTAAATATCGTTAATAGGCCTAAATGGAATGCGATCATTTAACAACATTCCGATCTTAAACCAAGATCTGGGTAAGTATACATTAAGGGAAATGAAGTAACACAAAACTTACTTTCCCTTGTAACTAATTACTTTAATATGCAATAATTTGTAAAGTAATTCAATTACTTTTGAATGAAATAACTAGACCTCTGGGACCTGGGTTCAAGTCTGCGCCTGGGTCACGTGTGTGGAGTTTGCATGTTCTCCACGTGTCGTCGTGGGGTTTCCTCCGGGTACTCCGGTTTCCCCCCACAGTCCAAAAACATGCTGGGGCTAATTGGTGTTACTAAATTGCCCATAGGTGTGCATGTGTGAGTGCATGGTGTGTGAGTGTGCCCTGCGATGGGCTGGCCCCCCATCCAGGGTTGTTCCCTGCCTCGTGCCCATTGCTTCCAGGATAGGCTCCGGACCCCCTGCGACCCAGTAGGATAAGCGGGTTGGACAATGGATGGATGGATGGATGGATGTTTCCCAAGTAAAAGCTAATTTCCCATTTCTGTGCTTCTGATAAACTCAATCTCATAAGTGAGAATAAATGCCCCATTAACCAGAAACTGACGTAACAGGCCCCAGGTGAAAGTAGACTGTAATATTTCCACACATGGTTTGTACAGTTTCTTTTAATCAAATCTGTTTTCTTCTAAAATCAGCAAATTCAGTAGCACAAAATCAATTACAGGAAACCTTTTCTTGAAGTTGGCCTTGAAAACTCAGTTATATATTACACCCTCGGAAATGTAAGGTGAAAACTGGAGAGAAAAAAGACGAGGTAGAAGGTATCTTTTTGTAAAAGCAGATAACATTGGAGACTTTGGCACAATCAAAACAGCATCTCATTGAAGCTTTTCTATGTGCTTTAGTAAGACTCAAAGACAAAAGTCGAATCCTTGGCTTTAACAAGTTTTGTTGCATTTTATACATGTGCTTGCATGTCAGGCTTATTTTAACAGTGAGGTTTGCTTGTTACCTTTGACGGTGGATGGGTCACTAAGCAGAGAGCCTCAGTTCCACAAAGTACTACTCAATTACACAAAGCAAGAGCACATTGGAATTGCTACTATGACATTTTAATAACAGCTGTACTATTCCGTAGCAGATGAGCCATGACGTGATCTTGCTGAAAACACAGCTCTGGGGATTACATTATGAGGCAGCCTGAAACAATCTCTGTTTGTGTTATGTCCATCCAGAGAATGGCTTAGGATAAGTCATTTGTGAATGTGATTTCTAACCATGGGCAATTTGCTCCAGAATGGGCTTCTGTCAGTTAATGTGGAAGTATGTGTAACTATTCTGAAGCATTTTTTTCTGCCCCAGGATTATACTAACATAAGCCAAAAGTGATCAATACTAAATCCATAATGCATAAGAGTACTATCTCTCATCCTTATTAACTACAATCACACACCAGTACATGCAAATGTCCCTGCTTAAATATTCTTTTGTTAGTAGGAAGAGCCTAATATCTGGAACCTTTATTTACTTATCAGGCTTAACTTGCTGAATGGTTGGTGTTTTCGCTGGTGAGGAACAGGCAGGCGAATAGGTGAGCACATTGTTTTGCCTTGAGGCTGCATGAAAGATTAGGCAGAGGATTTAATTACACTGGCAGAGGAATCCATTGGTTTTCTTCAGGACTTCAAAAGCCTGCATTTGCCTTTGTAAAACACACTGCAAGCATATCAGTACTAAGTACACTATAACCAGCTTATTCCACCTTGCTTTAGTTTTGGCATCAAAGTAAGGGGAGTTTGGGCCTCAGGAGCCTTCGACTGTAACCTTTGACAGAAATTACAGATCCCCTTCAGCAATGCAGAACCACCTTTGTGCTGGAATACGATTACCTGAGCGCTGAGCTCTGCAACCATTCAGAGTAAAGTTTTCACAAAAATTCAGTAGGTGGTGCGTCATAATATTGCGTTGGCTAAAATAATTTACATTCCAATACTCCCGTTACATTTTTACTGATATTGACTATCACCCGGAACGTGAGGGCTTTAAGATCCCAATTCCAATTACGATCCGTCAGCAAGGCAAAGAATGAATTTGTTTCGTGTTGAAATGATCTGCTCTGGTCAGTGTCAGGCTCTGAATGAAGAAATGGCCTTTTGCATAAAATGTATTGCATGTGAATTGCACAAGGATAATAGTAATTAATATACCTGGATAGCTTTTGTAGAGGTCATTTATGGATTTCAATATAGTATCAAGACAGATTTGCAAAAGAAATGACAGGACACATAGTTCAGCATCTTTGTTGAGAGGCTGAGGGGCACCCCGGGGAATGTGTAAGTAGCCAAGCTAGCACTGAACATGATTGGTTGAGATACTTTGTACGTTTATACGGCCTTGGAAGAAATTAGAGGCCTCTCTATATTTTTAAACAAATGTGCATTTTTAAATCCTGGCTGAGCAGCAGGTTGCATCCAGGTTCAAAATTTCTAAGCCAGCAGGACACAAGAATAAGGTGAAGCAGGAGACACTGGGAGTGACCAGAAACCAGCCAGGTAAAGGGCGGAAGTGACATTCTGCCAGAGATGACTGTTATCTGACAGTTTGTCATGAATCGCAGGATGACATCAAGTGACCTTCAAAAGGGAAACATTAAGTGCAGGTGTGAAGTGCACTGCTAGGACAGTTCATATCAGGCTCCTAGATGCAGGACTAAAGTCCCATAAAGCAAGGAAGAAGCCCTTCATTAATGAGAAGCAGGGAAGAAAAAAAAAATAGTCCGCAAAAAAAAATATCTTTTACACAGGCACATATGCATAAATTGAGAAATGAGTGAACCAAAGAATTGTGCTGTGACCTCATCATTTTTTCCATGGCTGTATACAGTGTGTATTGAATGCATATTGAAATATTTCAACATTTTAACCCTCTTCCTGCAGTGCAGAAGGAGCTACGCTCTGCTTCTCACTGCAGAACCTTTATTTGGTACCTCTCCGAAGAAACATTATCATTCTCTTAAAGAAGCAAAGTGACTTTAATTTGAATATTGCTGCAGGTATTAAAAATATAAGTAATGACATATTGGTTATATAAGTATGAGGAAACAGCCAAGGCACAGGTGAAGATAAGGGTGCCTAAGACCTCAAAAGATTAAAAAAAAGAACAGTGTCTGTCTTATTGTATGCCCTTACCATTATTTGAATTATAATTTCATTTTTCTAGCATAGAGAAATATAACAAAACAATCAAGGCACTGATTTTTTAAAATTTTTTTATCTGGGTTGGAGGCAGAGCGTAATTAGTATACTGCAAATAAGGCTCTCTGACTTTTGTTCCAATACTGCAGTCGAAAGGCCAAAGGGGCAAAGATAGCTGGTTCGTCATGCTTCAGGGATGGCGCCAAGAGGTTGTATGTTCACATCCCAGTAGGAGAAGGCACTAGGCATGGATATGTAGCTGCCAAGTTAATATTAATATATCTGTGTTTTGATTTGTATTCTTAGGTCGATCTGCTCATCCCTACGAAAGTCACTGGCATCATCACCCAAGGAGCCAAAGACTTTGGGCATGTCCAGTTTGTGGGCTCTTACAAGCTGGCATTCAGCAACGATGGAGAAAGATGGGCTGTATATCAGGACCAAAAGCAGAAGAAGGATAAGGTAATTTCACTTTTTCTTCTTATTGGATTTTACTGCCAATCTGTTCTCTAAACCAGTCATTCTTAACACTGGTCCTGGTGGGGAGTTTGGGCCTTGCTGCACTTTACGACGTTAACAACATAATGGCTGAGAAAGAAGGTCAAATTGGTCATTAAAGGTAATAATTATCTGGCAATTGACAAGGTGGAGGATTGGCAGAGCGCTGGGTAAAAGCACTAGGCATCAGGGTGTAAATGTGCTGTATTGAAAGGAGGACTGGGCCTCTCTAAGGACTGCCAACTGGCAGCAATAAGCAAAACACAAAGCAGGTACAGATACACAGAAGAGCCCAAGAGTATCACAAAAAATCTTTTTCAATAGTTTTGTTCTAGCTACTATATACAGTATATACTGGTATATTCAGTGATAAAGGAAAGTAGCATTCTGTTATATCAGGAAACACAGACTTTGTCTAAAATCTCATCATCAGAATCACAGTCTCAGACATCAGCACGCACAGCGAACCCTTTCTGTGGATTCAGCAAAACCATAGTCCATAGACCAACTATAGTCAAAGGTGAAGTGCATTTATAAAATAAATTGAGGGAAAATGTTCTACTTTTCATTTAAAACTAATTTCAAGCTGCAGTGCTAAGGGGGGTCAAAACAATCAGCCATGTTGACATTTTTGCAAGGTTGGGGAAAAAAATGTGGCGGAAGCCATTACCTGTTACGTGGAGGCGTTCAGAATTCTGCATCACAAAACAAAAATACAATGCAACTTTTCTTTTGGTTTCACTTCCCTGTCCTATCCTTTCCCTGTCTGTATGGTAATGTGAGATATAGTGATTTATAGGTTGTTTCGCACGATATGTTGCAAAAAAAATATATGGTGTGACTTGTAACTTGTCCCATTTTGGCGAGCGCAGCGTTTTCCTGTCCCTCTGAGACGTCGACTTCCTGTGCTGAGACTGTTTCTCTGTGAGATATCTGATAACCGTAAACATTATGGGCTGCTAATGTGCCTTCAGGCGTCACAGTCCAGCCTTTAGATATGGATAGTGCATTTCCCGTAACCAGGCACTTTGAAAGTCAGATAAGTGGGATTTAAAAAAAAAAAATCTTTCTGTTCATTTTCATTTATGGATAAGTGCAGCTAAAAAAGTATGTGTGTGTGTGTGTGTGTGTGTGTATACACACACACACATTCGATATATATGTATATATATTTAACTGTATGTATGATTACATACCGTTGTGTTTCACTCTGTCTCAGAATTATGTGCACAAGGCATCTTTATTTTTTGTAGATGTATACCTAAAATAATACCTCTTTCACCTAAAAACAATAGGCTGCTCTGTGCAAATCCAACATATGCACTTTTGCCTTGAAATACAAATGCAAACACTTATCACGACTGCCTGCAGAGGTATTTCTCAGGCATAATGGATGGGAAACGTTTTGAATAAGTCAGCAGCCAATGAATCTTCAATTGAAATACCCTTCCTCGCTATGAAGATGACATGGTTGAGGAGTGTATGATTTCAGATGATCTCTGGATGTAGGCCACAGCATCCAAAGGGTAATTTTCTACTCTGAATTCTCAATTTTAAGGACTGGAATAGTTCCAGCGGGATGGCCAGGCAGGTGAGGTAACCGTGTTTCTCAGACAGATCTAGCAGTGCACCAGAAAATGGGAAAATTAAATGAAGACCGCAAGTCGTGTGCAAGTCGGCATCCAGGTACAAACGACTTCATATGTCATTTGACTTATGAGAAACTGGAATTTTAAATTTTAAAATAGCTAATTGTAAAGCACCAATAATCAAGTTTTCAATGCATTCTTATGGCATGTAAATAGGGATTAGCCAAGCATAGCTGCTATCATATAAGAACATAAGAACATAAGAACTATACAAACGAGAGGAGGCCATTCGGCCCATCAAACTCGCTTGGGGAGAACTTAACTAAAAGCTCAGAGTTGTTAAAATCTTATCTAGCTCTGATTTAAAGGAACCCAAGGATTAAGCTTGCACTATGTTATCAGGAAGACTATTCCATACTCTAACTACACGCTGTGTAAAGAAGTGCTTCCTTAAATCCAGTTTGAAATGTTCTCCCGCTAATTTCCACCTACAGTATGGCCACGAGTTCTTGTATTTGAACTAATGCTGAAGTAACTATTCGGTTGAACAGCATCCAAACCTG